AAGAGCAAAAATGCCTTTGGGGCTCTACAGCTGCAAGAGAAATTTGCATATTGAGATATAGGTGAGGCTGGTTGCAAGCTTTCTGGCAACACCTACTTTAAATAAAGAAAAAAAAACCATAGTGATTTCACTCAGGTCTTCTTTGGAAACGGTGCCTAGAACAAAATTTCTGGTGAAAATAGAAGGGGAAAACCAATTCCAGAGCAGTGAGACTGGAGCTGAGGATCTGCATACCTATGCCTCATTCAGATTAAGGATCTTATCAGTAGATGAATGCTCTCACATATCATGGGTTACTGAGGAAGAAAGAAGGGAAACAGTGGGGAGGAATGAAAGGCAGAAAGACAGTTTCTCGATCTCTCTGTCTAGAAGTCTATCACCCCATACAGATAATGTAATATTCACCAGTACACAGGCTCAAACCTGAGTCATCTGCATTCCTTATTCAGTCCTGACTGATGTTATAGAGTCTGCAAAATTTATATGAACATATGCTGTGGACCAGCTACAGTGGAGTAAATTCTAACAGGAAAAAAAATCTAACAGGTCCCACTTGCTAGGAAGCATTGCTCTAATAACCTCTGAGCTCAATTGCTTGGATAAAAGCAAAAATCTGAACACACTTGTCTTCCCTTACCAATGCGGTTCACAACTGTCTGTGTGGGGATGTCAGGTTCCCTTTGCACCTTCTGAAATGTTATCTTTTGTATTCCCCGGTGATGGACAAGAACAGCTCTGAAATCTTGAAGGGACCTCAACAAGAAGAGATTATTCTCCTCCCAGCTCCATCCAGAAGACAAAAGATGAAGAACATGAAACACCAGTAAGAACTAGTATCCACTACCTCGGGTTTCCAGTTTTCTTGACTCCTCAAATTGTATTCAACTGTCTATCCTATCTTATTGTCATATTAAGATATCATTTTACTCTATCAGTATTGGAATTTCTTATTTTAGCAGCTTAAAAAGGCTGTGTTGAAAGATTTGAGCAACATGGCAACAACTGGACACAGCAATGTTAACGCTGATGTATGAATAAATCAAGTCTGCCAAGCAGCAAACTCACACATGTGGCAGGTAGCAAGTAACCTTATCCACGTCAAACAGTCGTGCCCATCAGGCAGTAAGTAAGGGAAAGAAAAACAAAGCAGGACAAAATCAAGAAAATGTGAAGAATTGGCTAGTAAAAATTGTATCACTGGAGACCAACTTGTTATGGCTGGTGTCAGTATCATTAGCTTACTAGTAGTTCTACCTGGTTTCCTCTTTCTACTCACCCTTAATAATTTTCTTATGGCTAACAGATGAATTTACCGTTTTCAGTATATACCCTCTCACACCTTTACAGGTATTTCAAGAAACACATGTTAAGGAAGGCTTATTTTTTAGATCTTCTTAAGCTATATAAAATCTCTATGGGACTTGCAGGGAGCAATTAATACAGCATTACACTGAAACTGACACACTAGGTTTCCTTCAGCAGCCTCTGGCCATCAGCAGTAGCGCTGAGCAGATGCCCAGTAGAACACAAAGAAACAGAGCAGGCCTAAAGTATTTGTTGGGGTTTTTTTCTGACTGATAGTGTCCAAGGTTCCAATTATTTTCAGTTTTAAAACTTATCTTGATGCACCCCTATCTGTTTAGTCACCCTCAATAGATTCATGGACATGTCCATTTTCTCTTTGAAACCATGTAAACTTTTTATAGCTAGCACTGTGCTAGCATAACATAAACTTTTAGATTCCAGGAACTTAATGACTGTTGTGGACAACAGCAGTGTTCAAACTCTACTCTCACAGTTCAGTTTAGTTCAGCTCATATATCTGCCTGGAACCTACTTAATTCCTGTGGAGAAGTGACCTTTACAACCCAGCACTCAGAAAAGCAAGTTTCATTCTTTAGAAATATACCATATGTAAGTTATTTAAAAATAAAACTTAGAGGAGGATATCCTTGGATTTTGCCACAAAAGCTACATACCACTTTCACCACAAGCTACACCATCTTAGTACTGTATTATGCTATCAAAGTATTCAGTGTATTTTTAGGAACGTATTGTAAAGAATTCCAACAAGTGCTCTTAATGTTCTTTTGTTTGGCAAGTGACATTACCCTCCCTTCATGGTTAAGACAGCAAATTACCAGACACCCTAAAGAATGCAACAGTCTAGCCAAACCTAGAAAAACCCACTTTTAACACCAGCAGCCTCGCCAACTACCACTCAGTTTCCAACCTCCTCTTTCTTGGCAATGTCTTTGTGAAGGTAGTGGCATCCAAAAGCTAACAGCACCTATTCCTTGCCAATGCCCTGGCTCCTTGACATACAGGGCATCAGACCAAAACATTATAGAACAAACCCTTCTGGCACTGCCAGTCCACGTGCTCCTGAACCGTGACTTAAAACAAACCTCAGAGTGGATACCCTCTGGGGCTCTGACTGACCTGGTTCTAATAATAAGACTCAGGTGAAGTTTAATAAGAAAGAACAGGACAGCAGTCCTTTTCCTAGACAAGCTTAACATAGTGCAACTCCCCCATCCTCCTGCACAGCTCCAGAAGTCCTGTGTTATGCGGTCTCACAAACCTCAGTGCTTTCCCCCACCAGTTTAAGCCCAAGTCAATATCACACAGGGAAACTGAATGATGCTGGAAGTTCATGTATGCTCAAATAGACAGATGACATTCAGTTATGTCTCTGTCTCTGTTTTAAATGAAGGGTTTCAAGGGAAGCAAGGCACAGCTTCCACTTTCTGTCCTCACTTGGCAGCAAATAAAGGCAATATTGCCAGCAGTGGCTCCAAAACATGAGGAAGTGTTATGCTCAAATTTCAAGCAGAAAGTTTCATGATGAAAACAGCAACGGATTTCTCTGCCCTCTGTCTCCCTCTACCTTCTGGGATACTTGTTTGTCAAACACTAGTGTATCTGGTCTTGCCCCACAAGGCTGACAAAAAACCCTATATATCTCATCTGCTGCCCTCCCCAGGCCTCTGTTGCTGGCAGCAAGATTACTCCTTGCTTGGAGTAGCATGGGGTTGAATCTGAAGATTGGTGAGACTGGACTCACTAGAGGACGTGATCCTCACTACTGAAAAATGTACTTCTACCTTCCTACTCCAAATGCTAGATGATACTTTAAAAACAGAATTTTAAAACATGTAGAAGATGAGTTCAGCTTCCCAAACTCAGAGGCTACAAAGGATCCTTCAAAATTACCAGGGGTAATGCATTTGGCTTTTCTTGCACTCACAAACAGAGATGTTCTAAAACAAAAATAAATGCTCTACAGCTAAATGCTCCAAGTTTTACAAAACTGAGATTAGCTGTGAAAAAATTTTTCAGGCTTGTTTTAGGTGTAAATTTGCTGGTTTGGGTTTTTAAACCACTATCCTACGTAATTTATGTCATGCATTTAATAGAGAAATAAAAGCCTAATCACAACATCCCACACAGTTTGGAGAGAAACAACATCAGTGGTTAGCCGGGAATTCTCTTGCTGGTTGTAACCGCTGCCCGGAACGCTATGCAGGGCAAAAAAATCACATTAAAAAATACCTTGAAAAAGAGCTTACCATGTTATTTGACTCATTCTGCCCTTATATATCTAAAACCTATATGCAATCTTCCAGTATATGTTTCTGGTTTTTACATTACAGGAATATGGCTTTTTTGCAAAACAATCTATGATAGTTCTCCCACTTTTGGGTATTCACATGCAACACACATGACATATTCTACCACATGTGGAGAATACTTGGAGCATATAGAATCATAGAATGGTTTGGGTTGGAAGGGACCTCAGAGATCATGTCATTCCCCGCCATGGGCAGGGACACCTTCCACTAGCCCAGGTTGCTCAAAGCCCCGTCCAGCCTGGCCTTGAACACTGCCAGGGAGGGGGCAGCCACAGCTTCTCTGGGCAACCTACGCTAGTGCATCACAGTAAAGAATTTCTTCCTTATATCTCATCTCTTTCAGTTTAAAACTGTTACCCCTTATCCTGTCAGTGCACTCCCTCATAAAGAGTCCAAAATGATACAGCCACAACTCAGGCTGTTTTCCTTAATGTTTGGACAGATCGAGAAAATATTCATGTATATGTAACAACCCAGCATCATACAATTATTTCTTGGTTAGAATGTGGTTCATTTTGTGTTTAGAAAAAGAGCAAACTGAGTTACTTGCAGCTTATTTCAGATACACACTTCTGAGAGCAGAAATGAGAAGATACAGCATGACAGTGGTGGCAGGAGTCATTACTTCCTCATTAGGAAGTGGTAGTATGGCTGTCATACTTGTTTGTCTTATCCCAATAAAATTAATAAAATAATAAAGATTTACAAGATTCACTAGCACAGCCCAATTCACTAGAAGGATAACTCCATGAAAATAAAGAACCTTTGGGCTAAACAGTGTGGAATGGCAAAGTCTGGGTTTGATTTTCTCTTGAACTTTCATTTTTAGAGAATCCTTGGATTACACTGACGTTCTCTAAAAAAAAATTCCAAATGTCACTAGCACGATCCATTAACAACATCTTCAAAAACTGCTCTGAGCTGATAAGAAAAATATAAAATGTGACATATTTGCATTTTATAATGCACATATAAAAAAAAAGAAGCTGGTAGCTCAGGTCACAGACTTCAGAGGTAGGTCAATTTTTATTTGTCTGTGATAGAATAATTGTAGCATTTGAAGACTTTTTATAAAAGGGAAGTCATTTGGAATCTTGTCTCATTACTCCTCTGCCCATCCTCACTTACAAAATTCTAAAAGCCATGAATTGAAAGAAAAAATCCTTAGATTAAATGAAAGTTAATGAAATTACAATTGAGCCATTGCCGGTTTAAAAGAACTAACATAATCACAGCTTGTCCTGGTCATATGTACTTACCAGTGCAAAATAGGCTGCTGACCAGTTATGCTCTCTTTAACTATTAACAGTAGTATCTTTGTTCTCAAACAATGTTAGATGCACATGTTCTGGAACTTATATTTACCTGGTGGATTCTTGGCAGGATCATTGTGGCTTGGACTTCCTGGTTGTCCAGAATCTATAAAGAAATGAAAGAAATGTTTTACTAATTTGTTTTTAAAGCGTCGCACAACCTTTTAATACCCTCCTTCAGAATTAAAGTAATACTTAACTTTGTTCTTTAAAGGTCATTTCCCTGACTTTCTACATGAAGTCATTATTGAACAAACATACTATAAGTTACCCATTTTATGCAGAAGCAGAAACATTGTGAAAGATGCAATAATCCTAGTAAAAGGAACTCACAGATCACTGAAAAAGGACAAGAGAGTCATTCAGGTAAATACATACAGTTGTAAACACATCTACAAGGGTTGTTTTTCATTCCCTTTCCCTCCATCCCCCAAATACAATTGCATAATCAGCAAAGCAGTAGTTTCTTCTCAGGCAACGACCAGAAAGACATATTGGATAAGGCAACTAATGGCATTTGCAGGGATGAGTCTTGTTTCTTTACCTTCTCCTTAAACCATAAAGGTATGCCACAGACTCAGGACTTCACTAGACACAACTGCCCATTTTAATACAATATAGGCTTTGTGTTCCTAGTCTGTGAGTACTGCTGTTGTGAAATTAAGATTATGTCCCATAAAAACTAACAAAACCCAAACCCTATAAGCTTCCAAAAGTGTTCTTTTCATGATATGTGCCCCTAATGAATCAAGAAAATGCAATCTGAACTTAACACACTAAATAATAAAATATATCCTTATTCATAAAAGCAGTTGCTTTTAAAACTATCTAATTTTTGCTGTGTTCCCTTACCAATAATAAAAGAAAACCCTGCTCCACTGCAATAAATTGTTATTAACAAAGTAAGACATGACAGACACTCTTGTATTGCAAAGAGAATAAGAAATTAAATTAAGCACAACCATTTATTCTCATAGGTATAGGTATCTAAAGATAGAGGTATCTAAAATGGAGCAGTTTTACAGTCTGAATAAAAACCACCATTTTTTTTTTAAATGTAGCAGTGCTTGTTGGCAGCACAGGACCACCAAAAGATTGCATTGTAGTACTACAGAGATTGCTACTGCCACATGAAACCCAGAGGGAAGTGAGGGTTCTTAAATGCATAGCTGCTTACAGTGTCTAAAATAAAGAAAAAAGATAGAAAAGGAGAAAAGTACATATCAACAAATACTTGTCTTTTAATCCCCACCACTTCTTCTTAAAGACAATGTAGCCCTCAACCTTGAATGAAAGATTCCCTCCACTTGCTAAAAGAAGTTCACTGTAATCTGTTACCATCTGTTAAGTAGCTTAGCAAACATGGCTTGACACACATGTCTGTCAAGCAGTTTAAGTTAACACAAGCTTGATGATACAGAAGATATTATACAAGATGGAAATCCATTTCACAGATCAAGTTCTACATTTATCTGAATGATAGTTGTCACAGAAAACAAGCATCTGGGAATCGAACAGAATATTGGAAGATGAAGACAGATGTGAAACCTAGTTCTGATGGTATTAAAAACAAAATTGAATTTTCCCATACTGAATGAAATCACTCTTGCACACAATTAAATGCACACCAGATAGAGAATTTCACATGAAATTTCCTCTGTCTTCTTCAGCTCTAAGGAGGAAAAATGAAGGGCAGGTCTCCTGCTCAGATTCTGCACATCCCATGCATTGTGCACTTGAATGCTTAAGAGTCCCACTGTACAGCACAAAAGCCATTCAGTATGCCTGTTTCTTTTCATGATAAGGTACAGCACATTCATTTAAAAAAATAAAATCAAGTTAATTTGAAAACTCAGCCAGCTACAAGAAATGCTAAAAACTTGATGATTCTCTGCATATGGACCTTTATATGGGCAAACGTCCTTTCTCCTGTGTTGCAATGGGAAGGTTCACCCTGCGGGGAATGATCTTTAATATTCCTCTAATAGGCACTCTCTGTTTCTGTAAACCATGCATACTGTTATTGAAATTAAGATTATCAGAGAGGATTGATTTTACACAGCAATGGTTCACATTGTAAAACTACTGCAGATGTGTGGCTAAATGAAGTGTCACTTTGGTAGCACATGCACCCAATAAAACTTGGACAGTGTAGCAGGGGGAACACAGAGATTTGGAAGTGGATTAATGAGGCCTACCAGAAGATAGTCTTTGAAGTTTTCTTCTGTTAAAATTCATTTAAAAGATGCACAAAATTAATAATATTTTTTAGCTCTTGCACAGTAATTTGCCTTTACTCCTACTTTCTCATTGTCAACACGGCTACTTTCTAGATCCAAGATTTGAAGATTGATGATAGTTTCAACAATTCTTTTTCATATTGTAAGATAAACTTAGAAAGAATTTTCCAGTTATAGGGACAAGCAAGTTAGCTAGATACTATAATTTGCCAGTCAGACTTAGCTTTTATGTTAACTACTTATCAGTCATGATTTTTACAGATTGATTCTCACACTGTGTTTTCAGCAGTAGACACTACTAACATATTCTCCAGTGGGGTCTCAAAGATCTTGAGAAAGCAATGAATTATTGTAAGCTGAATATGAGAAGCAACTTTTCTAACCATTCACTTAAAGCAGTTGAGAAAGCAGAGAACTGTATTCTATATGAGAGTATCCACCTATGTAACTCTGCACTTAAAGCACACAGAAACATCTCATACTCAGGATGAAAGACACAGACCTGAGATAACCTGTGATAATATAATTCTCTTACAAGTGTCAGTAATTATAAAGCACTCTCCTGATTTGATTGGCTATAAATAGCTTTGCAAAGTACAAGAGAACCATTATTTTTATAGAAATAAATTATATGAATAACTGAATTTATAAGCAGAACATTGAAAAGATACATTGGAGCAATGCTCTCCTATAAGAGGGAGTAAGAGGCATTTTTGTTTTAAATCACAGAAACTAAGAAAGCAAAAGACATTTTAAGACACTAAATCTTTCTTTATCCTCATCTGCACAAGATCATAAATTAACAACATAAGACCTAGATTTGAAAATTGCAGGCTTTTCTTCCAGTGTGATGGAGAAGACATAGACAAGACTCATTGTCTTTCTAGCTGGCTTTGCATTGAATTTTCCCACCAAATAATTCTGTGCACATTTAAAAAAAAAAAAAAAATCCCAACAAAGTCCTAAGTTAGAAGCTGTAAGCAAAGCTATACAACTAGTAGCAAATAAAACCCCATAATGTTAATATGATGAAACCGAAATTTTCAACATCATTTATTTAGATCCCAACTGTAAGTTCCCTTAGTTTATTCTTTGAGTTCTTTTTGTTTGGCTGCTTTTAAAACCCTCTTCTCAAATTGTACTTTCAAAGTGCTTTTTCTGAAAAAAATCTTCCACACAGATCTCAGAAGCACTCATCCTGATTTGCTACAGAGCAAAAGCTCACCTACACATACCATTTCCACAGAATGGCTTTCATATGCACCTCACAGCTATGGTGAGCTTTTCTTCTGCTCCGCTCTTCTTGGTGCTGACTGCTTCAACAGTCAGCAACTGATGCCTTGGTAAGTTATTGCCCCTTGGATGAACAGTTTATACAAGAATGGTTCAATCCTGTACTCTTATTTGGTAGATATTCATGTAATCCTGATACACTTTATGTGTAATTTTTCATAATTCAGCATGGCTACCACCAGGATATTCAAACTCTTTTTCTCAAATTATTCTTTCTTTTAGAAGATGGTATGAAAGGATAAGTCAAGAAGCTGATGTACTTTATACTGAATTGTTTCGCATGTTTTTATTTCTAGGGTTCAATCGCAATGAGTATCTGTGAGTGCAGGCAACTCTCACTACAGACAGAGTTAAGTAAAACTGACTGCCAGGGCCTGCCACTGCTGAGAAAAAACATACATTTCCCCTGCCATGCAATAGGAGAAAGGTGCTGCCCTGACACATCACTCTTGGCCTCACAAGACAGAGGGGGAAAAAAAAAAGTTGTTGGTTTGCCATCCAGTGACGGCAAACAAGATGCTCTCTCTCTGAATCACCTTGTCTTTGGCAAAGCAGCAGCAGGAAGGAAACACAACCCAGCAAAGCTGAGAAAGTCACACTGCTGTTCACCAGCTTCCTGAGGGATTTTTGCTATTGCTCACCTCAGTAGTCTAATCTTTCATTTTTCAGCTGATAAAAATAAGCTATGTTATACCTCCCTTATGTCCCATACAGTGCAAGTAATTTTGCTTTTAAGGCTCTCTGCATTAGCATAACATTGAAGGCCTTGAAAACAAATAGAGGCAGAATCTGTAAAAAGAAAAAAATACCTTCTTGAGCCATATCTTAGAAATAAGCAGATTCTACCCAGGTGTCACACTACTCAAATAAATTTTCTCAGTGGTTTCAATTAACACATTTCACTTATCATTTGCCACAGGCTTGGAGACAGCCTTTGCACTCAGTTAATCTCAGCTGACAGACACTAATTTAATCATTCACCAGCATGTAAATACACCCTTGTTCTTTGATAGTCCATGAGTTGGCTATGAGGGAGGATAAAGGACCAGAGAAATGTGACACCATGTAAGTATGAGTTTGATGCTGTTCAACCTTTCACATACCTATACAGCATCTGACTTGACAAATGACAGTCACTACCATGAACAAGAATCACAACTACCTCCCAGACTGTCATCTTTCAGGATTTATGCTGCCCCCTGAAATCACAAACCTGAGGCAAAAGGTTGTACCCCTGAAAATCACAGGATCATAGGACACCTCAGTCTGGTGGGGACCTGGGAAGGTGTCCAAACCCAGACCATGCCCAGGGAAGGCTCACCCATGGGATCAAACGTGACTGCCTATGGCTTTACAAAGTGAGAGCATAAAACACCTCAAGAATGGAGAAGACCCAACCTCCCTGAGCCCCAGCTCCACAGCTGGGCTGTCTTCATAGGGAAAAAAGACTTCCCAAATCAACACTTCATCTTTCAAAGACTTTCAGAACATCATCATGGTAGAAAAATGTTCATGGCAACAAAAAAGCAAGATATCTCCCTCTCCTCCAAAGCAAATAATGTGATTAACAAAA